GTTCTAATGACCTTTGCCCTGACAGACGGGACTGTCCCTGCACCCCTGCAGTTAACCCCGTCGGAAAAGGGGCGCCATTCTGCCCTGGGCGCCTGCCTTCCCCGGGGCTTTTCCCAGCTGCACAAACGGGGCCCTTCAGGGGTACAGCCGTCTCTACAGGAACTGCACACGTTGCTGTCTGTCCAGTGCGATGTTCAGGCCCTGCTTCTATGCGAGGCCAGCACTCTCTCTCCCAGCTTATGGTGACGCCTGCACAGCCTCGGTGGAAGCGGACACTGTGTATGGAAAGCAGCCTGGGGCTTCTGAGGCTGCACCTCAACAATACTGAGCGTCACGGCTCCTTTAAGCTCTTCACAGGACAGAGCACCTGCCCAATCGGCTCACTTCAGAGCCCACGTGTCAGAAAGCGAAGCCTGAGCTGCCTGTGCACACGCACAGGCTCGCCACCTGCATGTGCTCTGTGCGTGGATAATACACTCGGGGGCTCTTTTTAAAAAATATATTTTTATTGACCTCACAGAGAGAGGGAGAGGAAGAGAGAGGGAGAGAGAAAAACATCAATGATGAGAGGGAATCATGGATCGGCTGCCTCCTGCGCGCCCCACACTGGGGATCGAGCCCACAACCTGGGCATGTGCCCTGACTGGGAATCAAACTGTGACCTCCTGGTTCATAGGTCAATGCTCAACCACTGAGCCCCGCCGGCCGGGCCACTCAGGATTCCTTATACTAAAGTAGAGCGTAGAGGGAACGACTTTGGTCGGGTTGCGCAATAATAACATAAAGGGTGTGTGACGAGTACGTGGTCTCCATGCTGTTTGCCCAAGAAAGAGTGAAGACGGGGGGTAGGCAGCAGGCCGGTATGACTCCTAGGTGATAGGCCATCGGAGCCAGAGTTCTCCCTGGCAATGCGGCCCGAGGCCACGGCGCAGGCACAGTGAGGACCTAACTGGAGTCGCCTCCTGGCTCCAGTCCCCTGTCCCCTTGTTACTCCTGTGCTTTGGAGAAAGTGGTCAGTTCACTGGTTTCTGAAATGTCTTCCTTCTGGTTGTGCTGCTCCGCTCTTCATGACGAGTGTGGCCTCTCATTCCCCTGTGGTGGAAGGCACCTGTGACCTCTCGGGTGATTTTTCTCTGCCCACGGAGAGGTGAACAGTGGTGTCTGTGGTCACGTAAAGTGTGAAACAAGACAGCCAAAACCATAAAGATGGTTACTTCACCAGCGACATGCCCTCCAACAGACCACCGCTGAGCAGGTGGACAATGAAGATTCCCGTGCTGGGAATACTAGTTAAGAGGCCTGAACCCCGTGGGATCAGCCAGCGTCCTGCAGTTTGGCTCCTCTTCGCCGCTTAAATGTCTATCTGGGCCTGATGAGTGCATTTACTCCACCGGACCTCCACCTACTGCGTGCCCAGCCCTCTGGTTGCCCAGCCCTCTGGCTGCCCAGCCTGCTGCGTGCCCAGCCACCGCCAGGTTCTGATGCTCTTTGCCCTCCAGGACTGCGCAGTGGCCTGGAGTCCAGGACTTCCAGGAGGTGTAGGAGGGACACCGAGAGACAGCGCGCAAGCCTGCAGGAGCACGAGGCCACTGTTGGACCCACCACCAGCAGAAGGACCACCAGCCACGTATTTATCCAGATAAAAGCCCAACCAGCTCATTCAAGCCGACGTGTCAGGGGCTTGGGCTGGACTTTGAGTGCCAGCAGCACCACGACTCGCCAGCCGTGGAGTCGCTGCCTCCATAAAACCGCTAACACAACTGCACCAGCTGCCGGCTCCCCAAGAGGATGAAGGACACAGACCAACCCGAGAGGCGGCAGTTTCGTTCCTGCGAGTGTTACCCACGGCGTGAGCTCTGCAGAGCCAGGCTGGCCCGTCCAGCAGGCCTGGCCAGGAGTGGGGCAGGAGCAAGCCCCACCACAGGTGACGGGCAGGGAGCCCCACGCCGGTGTGATGACAGGGCTGGGTTTATTCTCGGACAGCCTTTGCCTCTTGTCAACCCCGTCCGTCCGCCAGGTCTTTGACATCCTTCCTTTCTTCCCAATGGCATCGTCCTCATATCTACTGACTCTATCGGGACAGGCACAACCACTGAGGGTAAAGACTTTAAACATCCTAACAGGACAATGTCTTTATTAAGTTGTGATGAGGAGCTGGCCTGCGCCTGAACCCCAGCCGAGGGCACCTCAGCAGAGCCTTCTCACGCTGGGAAGCGACTGCCTGTCCATTTCCCAGGTCCCGGGCAGGAGGCTCTCCAACGCCCAGGCTGGGCCTTGCAGAGAGCGCGGGAGGGACATAAACCAGGGACGGACAGTCTTGGTGAAGGGCCTCTGCACTGACCTGATTCCACGTGAACGGAAACGGCTCTGACTGTGTGGTCCGTCTGTGATCTAAACACACACACAGACACCCCCACCCAGTCACAGTGGAGTGAAGCCCTGCCATCCGGTTTCTAGGTGACATGACTCAATTCCATGTACAGTTAGAGGCATGCAATTGTCCAAAAGGCGACGATTTCCCATCTTAAAGAAAATGCGAAATTAAATGAAGTCTAATCTTCACTCCTCTGCGCTGGAAATCTACACCATTTCTACCTCAGTTCTTACAATACAGCATCAGAAATACAACCACGGGTACGGAACAAAGGAGCTTATCAGCTAGCCAGGTGGTTACGTGGAGTATTTCATAGTTAATTATATTGAACGTGGGCATAGGTTTCACTTAAAACACATACCAACAAAGTACCATTTCAGGAAAATGAAATATTAAACCATGGAGACACAGGTATGTGCTCAGCAGCAGCACCCATCTCCAAGCCAAGGCTCGCAGGGCGTTCTCGGATCATAACTGCCGGGTGAGGTGTATTTGTATAGGCCGCTGCTAACACAATGACAAGCTTTAAAAGGTTCCGTTAAACAAGAACCAAACTTTAAAAAGAAAAGTGTGATGTACTAAGTAAATCCTTTTGATCGATGCCAAATCAGGAAATCTTAAAGGGTATCTTTTTCTAAATTGCAGTAACGATGGCAATATTAGTCAGACAAGGAATGAAGGCCTAACGTTTCACTAGACATAAAAATAAGCAAGTCACTTACTGCAGAGAAACACAAATTTAAATGCTATTCGAACTGTGAATGGTGTGGCCACTCTGGAAAATGCTGGAAGTGAACAATCATGTACCAGGAGCCAGCAGTCTACTCGCAGGCACCAACTGGAGAGAAGGGGTGTGTCCACAGGACAACTTGCACGAGAACAGGGACAGAGGCTGCATTCACAGTCCAGGTGTCCACCGTGAGCGGATAAGCCAGGCAGCCACGGTGATCACTCGGCAGCCGTGAGGAAGGGACGGCCACCCCTGCACGCCACCGTGTCCCCCCTCAGCTGCTAAGTGAGGGACTGACGCAGCGCAGGGTGCGGCCTCTGAGTGGGGCCTAAACTAGGAAAACGGACCTGAGGACAAATCAGAACAATGGCCCCAGGGGGGCTGTGGGAGGGGAGGCTGCTGGGGGAGCAAGCGGGTGCCAGTGCCACTGCACATAACAGGGGCGTGGCTTACACAGTGTGTGCGTCTGCCAAGGGTCAGTGAAACGTTTACTTAAGATACGTGCCTTCACGGTGAGTGAATCGCACCTCAGAAGGAAAAGGGATCTGTAAGCAAATATTAACTCTGGCTGTGGTGTGCCTGCTGAGGTACTCAGAGGGAGTGCGCTGACATCTGCCGTCTGCTTTGGAACACGTCACAATAGATGGACTGTGGACCGAGGAGCAGTATGTGGTCACCAGTCCAGCTGAGCGTGCTCGGGGGACCTCGGAGCAGCTCTCGCCGTCATAGCTCGGCCAGTTTCCCGCCCAGCGCCGTGGTTTAGGGAGCTGAGGAGCGTTGCATACGGTTCTGGGGCCATCGGTCCTGAGTGTCCTTCTGCATGGAAGGCTGGCTTCTAGGAACAGCCCCGTGCCTCCTCCCTGCCCTGCGCAGGCCCATTCCCTCGACTCCCCGAAAGGAGAGAGGGCAGCGCTCCCACTCACAGGAGAGCGAAAGGAGAGGAAAGCCATGTCCACACGCCCGTCTCGCTTCTCTTTCTTCCCTGAAGTGACTTAAGCAGGCCCCTCCTCCCTGCCCCATGCCACATACCCCCCACCAGCTGGCCTGCCCCGGAGACAGGTACGAATCTTCTCTCTCGCAGATGCCCCGCCCCCTGCTCAGGTGCACATTAGCCCAGCCGGCCTCCAAGGACCATTACGGCCAAGCGGAGCTTTAAATTGGGAAGAGAATCTGAGGCTCCTGCCTTTAGCGCAGCAAAAGGAACCTGGGTTGAGCCTGGCTTAGGGGAGCACTGCTCCATCCGGAAGTACGGCTGTTCTCCCCCCCAGACCCCCACCAGCTCTGCTCCAGGGCCTGTGCCTCTGTGTGCGGGTGGGTGCCCACCAGGGGCACAGCAGGAGGAATGGCGGCCGTGGAGGGTGACGTGCGGACCACAGGCCCACCAGCAGCGCCCTAGAATCGGAACTTAAATAGCCCCCTTTGTGCTTCCCCCACTTGCCCAGGCACTGAGGACACCCTTCCGAGGGGAAGCATGCAGATGTATGTGCTCCTGCTTCCCAATCACGCGGACTGGGCAGCACTGCTGGGCGTCTGGCCCAGGGACTGGTGAGCAGGCGCAGGAAGACAGGGCCTTGGGCTCTGCTATCTCCTCCCCAGAACCCCAGAGAGTGGCCCTGCACTGGGGACGAAGGGCCTCACGGCGGGTGTGGGGCTCACGTGCACCGTTCCAGCAGGCCAGAAAGCGACCGGCCACCCGTGCTTGGCATGCAGGATGCCCGCAACGCAGCTTGTCAGCTTTGTGTTTTCCTAACGAACAGCGGGTTGAATGGCGACGTGTTTTTGCGCTACACATGTTCCAGTTTCCGTTTCCAATACAAGATGCTGCCTAAGAAGACAACGCTACAGGCAGACCGCGGGGACGCGCAGGTGGCCGCACTGCTGCTCCCTCACTCTTACCTCGTTGGAAGGCACCGTGGCGAAGGGGGTGATGACAGCAGCCAAGGGGATCTGGGCCTGCTTGGCCATGTCTGCCGTGCACGGGAAGCAGTAGGTCGTGCAGCGGATGTAGCGAGGACTGGCGTTGCCTGAAAGAGTGAGAGGCACAGGGAAGGTCAGCTCTGAAACCCGGACGTGAGCACATGGAGGGACTTCTGGGCAAGGCATGGCCTGTGTGGTTTCTAAAAAGGACTGTGCAATTCCACCATCCAGCCTCTAGGGGCACTGCGGCTGCTGCACACCACCACCCTCTCAGCAGACAGAGGGTTCTCACTGCTGTTCCCACACGGATGGCAGACCCCAGGGCGCTGAGAGCAAAGGCACAGAGCACAGAGCAGCACCCTCCCGCCTTCCAGCCGCTCCCCCGCTGCGGAGCGCTGAGCATCTGGGCCAGGTCCTGTCAGCAGGTGACACTTCCTCAATAGGATTCCATTTCATTATGTTAGTTTGAAACTGAAAATCAAATCTAGAAATGAAAATTCTACTGGCAATAGGAATGTGTTTTAAAGCACTTCAATCTATTTTTCATATACAATGTTTCCTAACCAATTATATTTATTTCATGGCATGACAACTACTTTGAATCTCTAGAATAACTTTCCTAAAATAAAGTTTGAAATTAAATGATGATTAAAGTCTGTAATAGACTATGGTGAAGAGAACGCCACCCTCAGACATGTGCTGCGTGGTGGCCGCGAGGAGGACACAGACGATATTCACCCCACAGAGGAGTCGTGGCCTCGGAAGGCGAGAAGTGCTGTGGGGTGCCACCTGGCTAAGGAAGCGCCTGTAGTTTTAAACGGTCGCCGCGGGGCCTCAGTGAAAAGTACCAGCGAGCAAAGCCTCCGAGGAGGCGAGGGGTTCCCAGGAGGCAGCTGTCAATTCTCATTTGTTACCGAGGGTGGGTGATGCTGAGGTGCAGAGGCGAGAGGAGCCTGGATTCGTGTACAGGTGTGCAAGGAGTGCAAGTGTGCGAGGTGTGCAAGGAGTGAAAGTGTGCAGGTGTGCGACGCGTGCAGGTGTGAGAGGTGTGGTGTGCAAGGAGTGCAAGCGTGCAGGTGTGCGAGGCGTAAAGGTGTGCGAGGCGTGGGAGGCTCCCCACGAAGCCCCTCTGTCCCAGCTGCTGCCTGGACAGCGCTGAGGACAGCTCGGAGGATAGACCTGGAGGAGGGGAGACCCCCACCTGGACCCTGATGGCTCCACAGCCCTGAGAGGACACACAATGCTGTTCACACACGGACGCTATACTTCCAGGCTGAGTAGGTGACCCATTCAAGCAGCGTATCGTCATCGGAGTGTCCGACCTCATCAGGGTGCACTGTCACTGCCATAAACAACAGGACACTCTGTTCCCGGGAGGACCAACCCCGCCCAGGCTGCCGGGTGGACTCAGTGACAGCAGACACGCAGGCAGTGACAGCTCAGCGCTCCTCGTCCTCGCTGAACAGAGGGAGCACAGACCCAGAATCTTAACGGAGCTGCTGTAAAGGCGGCTGGCGGGAACGCGGCCTGCTGACATCTCCAGTGTCAATGCCCTACGCTCTGCCCACGCCGCCCTCAGGTCCGTGCAGTGAGGGAGGTGACAAAGGAGGGCCCGAGCGAACACACCCGTCGTGAGCGTACAGAGCCCTCCGACTGCGATGGTGCACCGCCCTCACCCGGAGCGAGACCTCGCTGACAGCCGCCTCTGTACTTGGCTGCCTGACGCTGTGCTCCATGCTCTCTGTTCTGTGTGACCTCCTTCTCGCGGGGCACCCTGCGGCGAGCACAGCGTTGCAGGGGAAACTGAGGCTGGAGTTTAAGTACCAACGTGGGTCACACGTACAGAGCGACGTGGCCAGACCACAGAGCCCTGTCCCCTCTCAGGCCCTGCAGATGCGGACGGGTCTTCATAGACCCACCTGTATAAACGTTCTATCAGCGAAGGCGCGATTGAAGGGAGCAGTGCACGAGCTTAAAAATCATGCTGCGAGCCGGCCGGCCTGGCTCAGTGGTTGAGCGTCCACCTATGAACCAGGAGGTCGGTTCGATTCCCAGTCAGGGCACAGGCCTGGGTTGCAGGATCAATCCCTCGTTTGGGGCGTGCAGGAGGCAGCCGATCCATGATTCTCTCTCATCATTGATGTTTCTCTCTCTCTCCCTTCCTTTCTGAAATAAATAAAAATATATTAAAAAATAATAATAATGCTGCTGTGAAAATTGTAAACCCTCGATCAGAACTGTGGTTGCGAGTACCTACCTTGATCTTGCACCACACAGTCCGTGGTGACCAGGGGCGGGACCTGGCCTCTGGTGCTGGTGGCATACACCTGCCCCCCTCTGGTGACGCGGTCGTTCTCAATCACCTGGATCTGATCAAGAAGACGGCAAGAGCACGTCAGTCCTGTCGTCTCCACATGCTCGCCCCTCGCTGCTCCACAAACGCGGGCTCACTGCTGAGCAAATTCTCCTTAGCGACCACCACGCCGTGTGCCCCGCCCATGCTGACTCTCAGTGTTAGACCAGCAGCTTCCAAACTCTATTCTCAATGCTCTGAGCTCTGACCCAACCCTCCAGAGAACTTTATTTTTATTCAATTTGTTTACTGGGACATAGATAAACATTTTTTAAAAATCTGGTAGGAAAATAAATTGAAAATAACTTTTTAAAGAAAATAATCTTTGCAATTAAAGAAAAGTCTAGAAGGCTAAAAATGAGTGTAGACGAAAGGATTTACAACATACAACCCAAACAAGCCTGAAGTTCCTCCTCAAATCCCCCTTGGCCTTCAGCACCCTCTGGCCCCCTACCCCCTGCTCCCTGAGACGTGAGACAAACAGTGTCCTGGGTGGGGTTCCACAGGGTACAAGTCAGAAGGGAACACAAGTCCCTAAATTGTGTCGCTTCATTTGGAAACATCAGAAATTTCTCTAAGAAAACATTTCATGATGAAAAACTGAGGGACAAACATCGTCTTTCTGTTGTATTTGCTTTGGGCTGACAACAATGAGCAGGGGCTGTTGTGTGGAGCCAGAGAAACAAGAGGGAACCCTAAGGATTCTTTTCCTCTCTCTGCTCCCTGCCGCCTCCTTCTTCATGGGATACACGAGACCGGGGTCAGACAAAGAGGGGAGAGAAAGGGGGAAACTGGAGAAGCGAGGCCAGTGTCAAACTGAAGTGTGTGGCTTTGGAAGATACATCGTTGTTTATGTTCCTAAAGAAATCACTCACAATAATAAACTGTCTTCCCTCAGACTCTGAAATGGTGCCCTGCCCACCCACCCCCCTGCCCGCTCCAGGCTGGCTGGCGCTGACCCAGGGGTCTGAAGGCACACCAGACACCAGACACCGGTTCCGCCTGCCTGCAAGTCTGCACTTCCTGTCTCTCCCCTTCAAGTCACAGGACTGGGATTCTAATTAAATTAAAGATATAGAATATGCTCCAAACAGAATTACTGTGGAACACAGATGAGACTCAAGCCAGCACGGGCAGACACAGGAAGCAAACAGGGTAATCAAAACACTAATCACATTCCGTATTCCAGCCACAGTTCCTATAGCTCCACAGTAATCTGCTCCATTCAGAACTGGAATAGATTTTACGTTATCAACATTTACTGTAATGGTCTCACCAATGAAGTGTCAAATATGACAGTGAAATAGAAATCATGATCATCTACATATTGAACATACTAGTAGATGGTTCTTAGTCTCCAAATAGATTATTTCCAAAAAGTTTGTTTTTAAATTAGCCATTTGCAATTTACAAGCACTGGCTCCAAAGAAAGGGTGTCATGCAAGGTAATGACATTTCTAAATTCATCTGCATACTGGCTGGGACACTACGAAGAGAGTAAGAAATACTACACCAGTTCCAGTCATTTTAAAACATATATGGTCGCTTTTTAAACTGACCTCGCGTGTATGTGCTCATACATACATACACTGGAGATGAGACTCGTTACCAGAAACGTCAACAGAGGTTCTGCGTGTGCCTGCGCTTCCCGGGCTTCGATTCGGGGGCAGGGACTCCCGACAAAGCCAAACCCCCTCAGCGCGTGGAGCTGCCGCTTCGGGAACCGCTCCCACACTCTCCGCCTGACTCGTGCTCAGGGTCATGACACAGAACCAGGAGAGAGGGGGGTTCTCTGGGATAAGTGAACAGGATCGGGGAGCTCGGAGGTGTGTCTCGGGGCGGCCAAGGGCAGGGGTGTGACCTGGGGGCAGGGGCAGAACGCGGTCTGAGAGCCTCCTGCAGACACCCAGGGAGAGGGGAGTCCTGAGGAGGCAACCAGGCCTCGCTTCGGGCTGGGCGCGGGCACCGTCGGGGCTGTGGGCGGGAGCACTAGCTCAGGCGGCTGTGCAGCAGGCGGTCAGTGGACAGGATGCTACCCTTTCTTTCCAGAAGCGAGGATAGAGTTAGTGGCAAAAGCATGCTTCTGTGGTGATAGGAGCATAAACACCTGGCACTGCTGTTTTATTGCTTTCTTTTTATATAAATATATTTTCATTGATTTCAGAGAGGAAGGGAGAGGGAGAGAGATAGAAACATCAATGATGAGAGAGAATCATTCATCGGCTGCCTCCTGCACGCCCCCCACTGGGGATCGAGCCCGCAACCTGGGCATATGCCCTTCACTAGAATCGAACCCGGGACCATTCAATCCACAGGCCGACACTCTTTCCACTGAGCCAAACCGGCCAGGGCTGTTTTATTGCTTTTAGGGCACAAATACCACTGGACTGATCTTCCTGTTCGTATTTTAATGTCAGGATGAATCACAGCACATACTGCTCTTGCTTTTGTTGCTAATGTTCACTCACTCATTCCACCAGCATGGGAATGTCCACCTACAGCCCGGCCCACAGGAGACTCTGCCCGTAAGCCAGGGGGGAGGGAGAGGCGGGACAACAGGGGACTAGGACAGGACCAGGACCAAGAGAGGCAGCCAAAGGGCTAAATGTGAGGCGTGTGAGAAAGGGAATCAAGTGTTGTGGCCAAGGAGCTAGAAGAGGGTTGGAATCTGGGTTCAGGGAAAGATCTTGGCCAGGACTATCTGCACCCTCATTTACAGCCGAGAGAGGAACCGCTGAGGGAGCTGCTTCCCAAACGCCGGAGAGCCAGCGAGCACAGACCCCACCCCCGGATCTGGCTTCAGGGGGTTTGGGTGCAGCTGAGCATGATCGCTAGCAGCTCCCAGCCGACGCTGAGGGCCGTCCTGGGGCACACGTGGGACTGGAAGCTCTATGAGCTGCTGTACCCTTCACAGTTCTCTTGTTTTTCTCCCTTTGCGGTAAAATAACACCCCCCAATGGGGTGACCCCTCACCCTGGATTCTGGAACTAGGGCAGGGGCCAAACTGCAGCTGCTGCAGCCTGCAGGCCATTTAGGTGACAGCAAATCCCTGAAGTTGTGAGCAGAGCTGGGGGGAGGGGGGTTATTTGTTACACAGAGTAACTTAGTGAAAGCTGACTGATACAATCCTCCTCTGGATGGAAAAGAATTGTTATAGCTCTAAGTCTATATTCAATAATTTAAAAAATTTATCTTTGTTGTTGAAAGTATTACATAAGTCCCCCTTTTCTTTCCCCATTGGCCCCCTCCATCCCACACCCGCACCACCATCCCCAGGCCTTCACCACACTATTGTCTGTGTCCATGGGTTATGCATATACGTATATAAGTTCTTTGGCTCAAAAATAATTTTTTTTAAAATATGCAAACTACAATATGCTTTCACTCTCCATGGGGATCTTTCTCTTATTAAAAAGGGCCCCTTAGTTATTTAAATAGCATGTTTATACAGGATACACTCTTACTACTAATGACTCATTGACCATAATAAATACTGCCAATATAATAAAAACATCAGTAGATACTGCAAGTTCATAGAATATCAAAGAAGAACCTACATGGGCTGCTTCTCTCACGGAGAGCCCAGTGCGCACGACCCCTCAGCCCCCCACCCCCACACAGGAAGGAAGCTTTCCCTGCGTGGTTATACAGCCCCTATACTCGGCTCCATCCCGTGGGATGGAAGATAAGTGCAAGGAGGGGGTCTGGAACGATGAGCACAGAGTGGCCCTTCGTGAGGGAGACTGAGGAGTGAGAGGGCACTTACTGGGCTGGGCACGGCGTCAGGATCCAGCTTCCTCTGGGGCGGGGGCGGGCCCGCCATCTGCGCAGGGCCTCCGGGGAAGCCTCCAGGGTAGGCCAGCTGTGCGCCCGGCATCTGGGGGCCATAGTTGCCTGTTTGGAAAAATTTTACAAAGAAATGGCTAGAACCCAAATCAGAGGTGGGGCCCATGGCAAAGCCCTGCTGGCAGGTCAGGGGCGCTGCACCCCTCGCCTCCGCACAGGCAGGGACCACCCCGGAACCCCTGCTTTTCAGTGGCCACGCTGTTCCAAAAGCTGCCTCCCGTCAAACTGGTGCTGGGGGCCCGGGAACAGGAACAAAGCTGGTTTCCCAGGAAGGGTGGCCCCCCATCACCCAGGCCCTGCCCAGGCCCTGCCCGCCTTACCCTGCTGCGGGGGGAATCCACTGCCCAGGGTCTGTCCTGGAAGAGGCGGGGGCTGCAGCTGGGCATTCGGAGGCGCTGGGCCGGGCGGAGGCATGGGCAGTGCACCCAGGCCGTTCAGTGTGGTGGGCGGTGGGGGGAGAACCTGAGACCCAGGCTGCAAAATGGACGGCTGCAGAGGTGGCAGAGGACCCTGGCCCGAGGGTGCGGACAGGGAGCCCGGGGGCCCCTGGCCGGGGGGAGCCATGCCGGAACCTGTGGGAAGAAGACCAGTCACCCAACACGGCATTTCCTTCTGACCCGCCACGGACACGCGGACACTTTCCTGACGTGAAGCCAGGCAGCACCCCTACAAATCCACTGCCTTCGCTGCCACAAGAGGAGCCCTTCATTCAGAGAGCGACACCGATGTCATTGGGGCATCGCACACTGGGACGCTGTTAAAGGGGAAGACAGCACCCACCATTTCAGTGAGAAATGAGTAGACTAAGTTTTAACGCAGCTGCAGTAATTTTGTGTGATACACGCCATTAGTTAAGGAATAGCATCTGGTGTGAAACCGAGACAGTGACAGAGGAGACGTGTGGACGTACAGTTGTTACGTAACAGGTGTTAAGGCCGCCCACACAGCCCGTTACTTCCACCTTGTGCTTGTCCTGACCCAGTGGACTCAGAACCAGGTGGGAAAGAGCAGGGAGGGCGATGGGCCCTCACACGCCTTCCAATCATATTGGGAACGGCTGTCCAGCCAGATTATCTTCCCTCTCCCGGAGTATGTGCACTTGAGCTGCTTCCCTGGAGACGTACCCATTTTGCAATCAGTGAGAGATAAGAAATATTCTGAGGTTTTCCATGATAATTCTGACACACTGATCTAAGCAATGGAAACATTCTTCGCGAAGATAAGGGGCTGGCTGTGCTGCTCTCACGGCAGACAGGCCCTCCGCCCCGAGCACCCGCGGGCGAGTCTCCGCACAGGCCTGCTTTCTCCCCCTCTGCTGCTCTGCTGCTCTGCTGCCCGCGGCGCCTGGGCCCTTTCCCGGGACCCAGTGCAGACCCCAGGGCTCGTGAAACATCTCTCCTGTGAGGGCCCCGTACACACGCAGGCTAAACTGCCCTCATGCTTCCTAAAGCAATTCCACTGTCCTAAGGCTTATTTGTGACACCAGTATTTTTTGTTTTCTGTTGTGTATTGAACGTAAGGTATTCTGAGGGTCCTTCAATTACCTTAAAATAAATGGCAGCATGGTCAGGGGGAAATTAATGACAGCCATTCACAATACAGATGAGTAATATAAAAATGTTGAAATGCGAGTTGGGCTGCGCCCAGGCTGCGTGCATTTTGAAAAGAGAGAACCCTTTCTCATTCATGTGCTCCTGACGCCGGCGGATGCGGAGCGGCCGGGGCACGGTTACCGTAGCTGATGTGCATGGTATCGAGCTGGCGGCCCAGCTGGGAGACGGATGCCGGGGGCAGCGGACTCGGGTACGATGACTGTGTCGCTGGTGGATAAGGGGCATAGGAGGGTGGCGCACTGCTGGCAGGTGGAGGGCCTGGAAATCTAGGAGAAAGAGGATGTTGAATTAGACCACAGAGCTTCACAGGCACGTGACATGCAACGAACACCAATAACTGTGAAGTGAAATGCGCCTCCGTGGGCACCAGGGAATGAATGGCGTGTCTGCGCTGAGTCTCCCATGTTCTGGAGCTGAGCTCAGAGGGACTCACCATCAGCGCCCTGGTAACCCCGG